TTAAGGCAGAATAGAACTTCCCAGAAAGCGCATCTGCTTACTGTCTCATTTTATATGATCATGTCATAGAGAACAATACTATCAGTGGCGACGTGAGAAAACGTGTTCAGGTACATACATAAAACTAAATAAGGAGTCCTAGCAGGGAAGTCAATCTTTATCATATTCAAGTACATTGTGGATACTCTGGGTCATAAGAAGCCTGGCAATGATTGTGTGATTAAAAACTTGGCCATTTACTTACTCAATATGGATAATGAGCCTTTAGTACTTCTTTTAAGCTGCTATTTTCGTGACACAAACTTAATAACTGATACAAACGTAAAAACTACCAGCTTTATCTACAATATCATGGATGAGATCGGCAATCTGGTGATAGTGACTAAATAGAAATTAGTAATGTTCTTCGGAAGAATATTAAAGATAAGATGGTTTTGTAATTATAAAATTGGGAAAAGGCTTATAGGGTTTAATTTTTATGTCAATGATATAGTTAAATATTCAGAATATTAACTTTTAGCACTAGCTACTGCATATCTCAACGATAACTGTGCGTATAGATTTATATGTGCAACCCATAATGTCTAGTAAACTACCTTAAAAATTCTTCTTTCATTCGGAATGTTAGGAGGTCACGAATTCTGATAAAAAATAATACTACTTAAAAAACTTAATAAAACTTTGCTTTTGGAAATTATGTCAGTAATCATTGAATTGAAATAAATGACTTTCATTATTCATTTATGTAGCCTTATCTCTAAAACTAGCTAACTATGAAAATATTAAAAATCCATAATAAATTCTCATAAAACAAACATATCTACACAGTGTGAGACGTATATAAACAAATTTCAGCGTAGAGAACTGCTTAGTTCATCACGCAGTATCAAACGAGACCGACACACATTCACGTCACACTAAGTGCAATGTTTTTGTACTATAAAATAAAAAATGGATGTACACGTGGATTATGTTACAAAGATTGAAGATTTCCTAAATGCTTTTTGACAGCTTTTACCAAAGGATGTAGCTATGCTGCCTTTTAGGAGACCAGGAATCACTTATTGGATCGTGCTGCCCCTGTGCAATTTTTTTACCTTATCTATCGATGTGCGTTGAAATTTAAGATCAAACAGATTATATAACATCTCACAGTGTATGGCGTAATAGAATTAGTGTCTTCTAGTAGGCTAATAAAAATGTTTACGTAGCTCCAATTATCCTGTAACAAATGAGCAGTTAAGAATAGAGACAGCGGTCTATACTATATAGCAAACCAAAATTCTCGAGCCTTAAAGATCTCTTGTACAAAATTCCGTTAAAGCGTCTTATCCAGAATCAATGAAAAATTATTATACCAAAAATATTCGTTTTTATCTAAAGTAACGTGAATGCATTACGTTGGAGAATAAAATCAACATTTAGTCCTTGTCAGGACAAACAAAGTTTTTTGCATTTTTTTTAAGCTACTAATAGTATATGTAATAATTAAATTATTTTTTAGTATCGAAACTAATTGATAAACAATTCTAATAATCTTAAATTTCGATTTATAAGCTGGTTATACGTAATACTATATATTCTTTGTGAAGGTGGTCCATCGCCTAAGCTAGCGTTAGTCAAATGAAGGAGATATACAATCTACATTTCGTAATAAAACACTATATGTTTTTTCTTAGAATTTGATACGTTCACTCTCAAAAAGAACTATAAAATTGTATGGTAAACAATGTGTAAATATGAATATACTTTCTATTGGATAGTATTACGTATAAATATAGTGCAATCAACGCTGGAATCAGTATTCGTATGTTAACTAAGTGTAATTTTTATAAATATTTTAATATTCAGTAAATAATTAATTATGAATAATATACCTCGTGGATAAAAAAGTTTTAATTAAAGTTATGGCATGACGTCCTACCAGGCTGGCCAGTACAAGACTGGGCACTTTCATTGAATCTTCCGATGATTTTAAAATTACTCCCTACCAATCACGCTGATTACATCTCTAACGTCATACTCTCATCTGTCACATACACTTATTTCTAGTCCATATTTAATATGTAGCATAAAATTGAATTGAAAAAGTTTTAAAAAAATATCCTGTGGTGCTGCTTTGGAGAAAAAAGTAAAAAGATTTTGACAATTTGTGTATACAATGATCTTTTATATCATGTTATCACAGTGATTATACTAACATTTCCATTGATCATTGTAGTTGAGCATATAAAATATAGTATTCCATGAGATAAGCTAGTAAAACAGTAATAAATAATTTTATCATTGGTTGAAAACCTGGAAATCAAATATAGTATGATTAAACTAGTTTTTTGGCCTGGAAAATTCTGACTAGCTTGAAAATAAATAAGGTAGTAGTTTTGATACAATATGACAATTGAAAGCAGAATTGAACAAGTAGAAATGTCAGCACAAGCCCCCCAAAAAAGTAACAAAATGGCTAAGACATTTTTTTCAGCTTTATAAGAGAACTGAAAGATCGCACATAAGAAAGTATTCCGCAAAAAAGATGTGCAATTTCAAGACAAACAAAATTAGCCTCGTTGGATTCAGTTCGGTTAAGCCATTTTTTCGCAAACCGCAAAAAACTGCCATTTTGAGCCACTTTTTCGAAATTTAATACATCGCGTTTTATACAATGTTTAGGGCTGAAATTTTAACAGAAAACAAATATCATAACCCTCATCATACACAAAAACTTTCAGCTTGATTTTCCATACTTTTTGTGGACCGCAGCAAAAATCGAAAGAAGGTCCTCTCGAAAAATGGCCATAAAAAAGTTGTTAGCCAACATAGGTACATTTTTCAAAATTATTGCATTTTGTCTTTATTTACTCTAAAACTATACAATATGCCATTGATTTTTACTGATAAGAAGTATTTTAAGAACTGATTGCAAAAAAAGAACATTTCGTTTTGATCGGGCTTGAGAAAAACATTAACGCGGAAAGTGGGCAAAGCCTCCAGTGGTGGTTAGTTTAGCCTCCAATTCCACTGACCAGAGAGTAAAAAAGCTATGTTCTGCAATTAAGTTTGAAGATACTTAACTTTTTCTTCTAGACGCAAAAAACATGTTTTGAATATTTTTGCAATTTTTCGGGGGGCTTTTGCTGACATTTCTACTTGTTACATTCTGTTTTTATTTGTAATAATATATTTAAACTACTCCCCTAGTTTTTTCAAGCTAGCTAGAATTTTGGGGATGTTATTTTTATTTTTAGCTTATTCTACTGATATAGAAGTAAATAGTGTCCGTGGTCACCATGGTGTGCTTTTTAAAATAACTTACGTCATGTTGCCACGCCAGTTGATAGTTCCTTGCGTGGAATTTTTTAGAGACTTCGTAACGTTCTCCCTTACCGTCCCTCCACTGGCCAAAAAAGTACTTCCCACAGCCCCTCCACTGCTTTTCGTATGAAGTAGGTGCAATCCAGTTGTTTTTAAAATAATTTAAATATACTATGCTTTGTGTATTGTCTTCTTGCTACCCCTCCATTACTTTTAATTACTTATTTATAGCCCTAATACTGTCTGCTAACTCATTTTTCGAATGTCACCATCAACAACTAATAAACTTCCAGAAAGGACGTTAAAGAAAATTGATTTTTGGCGTTATAATTTTTGTTAAAACAATGTTTTCTTTTTTATTTTTTCACGCCCCTTATAAGTCAGATTGATAAATATTAAACATATAGTTAGTGAAGATGCATGAGTACTCATAAGGTCCCTACAATATTTATTTACAGTAGTAAATTTATTACTGTAGGAGCTTCTAATTTTTTTGTTGAGCATTAAGTTCTAAGTGGATTTAGTTTGAAACTGAAAGAAATACTGTTGAATAAAATTGAATAAGAATTTGTCTTGTGTTTTTTGTAACTTCGATATATTACTCTGATTGATTTTAATTTAATACAGTCACTAAGTTAACAAAACAGTGAGTGATTATTTAGTAGCACGCGTGTGTCTGTATAATTATATTGCACCCACATGTGCATTTATACCGCCTTTATACAAAGCAAGCTCAACACTTATTGATGCTCATACTTAGTGCATCTTATACAGAGCGTTGAGTGTATGTAAAGGAAAAGTTAGTGAATACGAGAAAAAAGGAGCAAAATTGTTTCGTATTTGACCGCTAGCAAAAGCTTATCAACGTTACTTTTGCCAGAATTACAATAACCCGCACTATTCCTGATGTTGATCATGTTTTTCTATGACTAAATGGCTAACATGCCACACTGATAAGTTCTAGCTAGCAATCGAGAACATAACAATTTCTTTCCTTTTCTTTCAATAAATAAATTTTTTCTTTTTATATATTTTATAGTTCAGGCACTTAGTCTTATTTATTAGTACCAGAGCTGATGATTGCAATTGTTGACGATTTATCGATTTACGATATATTAAATAAATATTTACGGGTAAGATTTATCAATCAGCACTAAAAAATTTGAAGAAATAGGATTAATTATTTTGGGGGACAAAAATTGCTCTCATTATAATTCCAAAGATCTTACTCTTAAGATTATTTATTAGAAATAAATTTTATTTGTGAGTAATATAATGCTGCATGCGTGTATTGAGTCCTAAACAGCAAGATGTACTAATTTTGGAATAGGCTATTCTTATGAGCTACTGTATAAAATAGGCAGGTGAGTAAGATTTAACAAAAATTTTTTAAACGCTAGATAAAAAACTAATCACACTAGAAAAAATATTGACTCTTCTTGTAGCACTTCTAATTATCTTATATTACTTTAAACGTGTCAAAAATTATGATGTCATAGATAGTTTAGTAATAGTTCATGTTTTTCCTAATTTAAAAAAAAATTTAAAAAAGTTACATCTCCTTGCAATACTAAATAACAAAGGTCAGGAGTACAGTATTTTTATAAAAACTATAATTAATTATAAACACATTGATTCGATCATTATTCTTATGTTAAATGTAAATATCCTATAAATAAACGTATACGTACCTTAAACAAAGAGAGAAGTTCTTATGTACAACAACCGATCTATAACAGAGAGCCATCATTGCAAAAACAACGAACACTCCTCCTACCACAGACATCAGTGTTATTACCAAGTAAACGGTGTTAGATCCATGATAGTTCTCTATTGATAAGTGTCCATTCAAGTTTTCACATAACGAAGTATTATTTAATATGGAAGATTCAGTGTTCATCAACATTTTACGATAAATATGTCCATATGTCCATCGTGGTGAGCAGTAAACAAAAAAAAAAAAAACATAACAATCATATACTTTGTGAGATAAGCTACGCAGTTACAGAAAAACGTTATCCTGGCTTAATAAAGTATAAATGAAATAAACTGAACCTAACTCATATAATTTATGAATATAAATAATTTTTTTCTTGAAGTGAAAAAAAAAATTTATGATTTATTTAACAAGTTATAAATCAAGTAGTGCAGTACCACTATATATAAGATGTACAATAGCGCTATTTTATACGTATTTATACATGTTATTTTGCTTTGGTGATTTTCAAAATAAAATCAGTAGTAACATTACTTAAAGTATCATGTTTCTAAATTATCTGGAATAATTAATATAAAACTTTTACTTTTAAGAAGAATCTTATGATAACAATCCTCTCAATTCTCTACAGAAGTCAGAATAATAATAGTAGCTATTCTCACAGTAACTATAAGTAATAGCATCATTCGTTTAGATCTTAAGTATTTTTGTCATATTTGATTCTAGTAAAAGGTTTTTGTTAGTATTCAGGAAGTGCTGTGTGGTATATATTGTTTACCAGCCACAATCGAAACTAATTAATATAACATAATAATGAATTTTTATAAAGTTTTATTTACAGCATGATTAAAAAATATTACCACTCGAAAAGCAAACTTTTAGAAAATAGACATCTGCACGCAAAAACAATACCTGCTGCAGCCTTGCGAATCGCTTTTTAATAATAACTTATATTAGAAACTGCACTTACGGTATTTTAAGATTCAATACAAGACGGAAAACAACCATTCTTTTATTAAAATTTGAAAACCGTATTGCTTACCTAACGCTTACGTTGTCTACAAATGTGTTACATACAAAGTTGAATAAGTATCATACTAATACATAAAGTAAAGTAGCTAAAACCGTTGTAATCGCTAACCGTAAAAACTACTGAATCGATTTTGCTGAAATTTTTTATACTAATTCTTAATAATTCGAAGATTATTTTCGCATACTTCTTTTTTCACAAAAAACAATAACAATAGAGATAAAGAAGCTCAAAAATTTTCTAAAATAAGCTAGCTTTGCGCTTCAGTTCAGTAGAATCCACCCATCGAGTTGTCAATTATCGTAGCCATTCTTTGACAGCACTCCAAGAACAAAGTTGTTACTCGTGCAGCTGGACATCCTGGCTACCTAAGACACTTTTCTTTCATAGACAAGCGAAATAAATCGGTTTTTATCTCAGATGGCCAAGATAACCAAGTACAACGGGAAAATAGGCGTTTGGAACGTGAACGTCTCTGGTGAAATACTAGGAGACGTGTCTAACCCGAACATAACCTGCTTGAACACTTTAGAGTTCTATGGCCATTCAACCATCCTGCCTGGTATCGTCAGATATTTTTTACTTCAAACTCAAATCAGGGAAGACAGCCTTGAAGAGTACGGGCAGCCACATCGGCTTCCTTTTTAGTGGTCATCCTGAGGGCACATCTTACAGAGAAGGTATATCCAGGCCCATTCTTTCGACTAACAATGACCGGTTGGTTATCCGGGGTACGACCCAAAGACAAGATATTCTTTGGTCAGTGGCGTATCTCCCTTCGTCACGGTCTCCGTACACAGAGCCTTCGAGGGCAAGAGTCAAGCTACCCACAACCAGCTCTCCATTATCAAGAATGAAAATAAGGAATAACTGAAAATTTCACCACTAACCTTCTTCAGGGCTATTATAAGTATTTTTTAACCCTACTTAACCATCAATCTCATCGGTTTTTTTAAGGGCTATCTAAGTTCCAACTACCCTGCCAACAAATACATTTTTACTACCATTTCCAGAACCGATTCGTCGACTAAAAGACTATGTACAGCTGACCACTATTAAACCAATTACGCTCTTGACTCAAAGCATTCAACCAGGAATCACCGATCTTTTTCAAGGTATGCGCTGGAAGAACCTAACAGCTATGAAGGAAAAATAAACTTGAGCCTACGGGACAGTCCCCAACGAGCAAGCATCACTAACCAATCCCTCCACCTTACATCACCAAAATAACTGAGTGTGCAAAAAAAATGGTGCTTTAGACACCAACATCTTTAACATTGTACCAGGTGACGTTGGGAACGAGCTCTACAACGAGCTCCAAAGCATCAAATGTTGTAGTTCTCCTCCAGATCAGTGTGGTGCTGCAATAACAGGCCAGAGAAAATCACCCTGAGGTATAGAGACAATCACGTTTGCTGGAAACTTCAGTCAAGAAAGAGCGTACTTTAAAAGCTTACCGGTCCGTTTCAGGGTTATTGAACGTCTAACTCCTTTGACAACAAAGACATTACAGCCTTATAAAGCTGAAAAGATAGCCTTTGGGGCTCACAAAAATCTTAACCATGCTAAAAGTCACAAAAAGATGAACTGGAAGAAAACTTAAACGCATATAACAAATTTAATTTAAGGCGTCAAAAAACTGATGCTCAAAATTTATCAAAATTAAAACAGCATCTAAATCGATACATAAAGAATTTATTAAGTGAGAGATGAGCTTTTCACTGTAACCCTTATAGTAATATTTTGAATCTTCAAGTTTTTAAATATGTAGAATATGTATTTGTAGTTTAGTGGCGAAAAAAAATGTATAAAAATAGATGTCAAATTTTTAACTGATAACGTTTCACATGAACTGTCAACATACTACAGTGTTTTAGTTAGTGAGTCTCGGGCGAAGCAGAGATGGGGGCCCGCTAGATTATAGATAAAATTAGCATTACTTGTTGACGAATAAAAGGCAATTCTCGCTTTATCAAATCTTAAAATTTGTATAAAAAGAACTAATTACAAAGTTGTAGTATGTATTGTTTTTTGTGCAGAGGTATTAATTTTTTTTAAGGTCAGTTTCCACGTAGTGAACAAGTTATAATCTTGCCACAAATGGCATTTTGCGGAGACCAGTTCTTATCTTCTATTAATCAATTGAGGTAGAGGCTAGTGTATGCTTTTAATTACATGAAACGTCTTCAATAACTTCAAAGTTCTTTATTAAAACAAAGTTCTATAAAAATACTTTGGATTTTAATAAATCACGAAGTTCCTTGATTTTTTTGAAGGTTGCGGCTTGTGTCATTTCTTGACAAGCCTTGGGTCTCAGCTTTTAGTATACATTGATTTCTTTACATTTCTAAGAGCTTAGTAGTAAAATATAGGTACAGAGTAAAGATTACGAGTGCTCAGTGTATCCATATGTACATAAAAATGTATGTCATTTTATTTTGAACATCTAAATGGCAGAATGTTAATATAAATAAAAAATTTTGTGGAAAAATTTTGCGTAGCAAGTCTTTTGGAACTTAGATTATAATACTTTTATTTGTGATTTCAATATACATGGTGTGCAAGTTGATAACTTAGGTAAAAGATAATTTTTTAACCAAAAAATCATGAGATAATAATAAAAACTTCTTTTTAATAAAGCATTATGGTTATGCAAGTCTTACCCGGGTCGAATACTAATACACATGTTTTATTGTTAACCAAAATGATTTGTAGTCACTTCTTTTTCTTTTTTTTTCTAATTCCTCTTATCTTGTTGCTTTGTTAAAATTATTTCCAACTTATTCATGTAAATAGTTTTTATTTTAAAATTTACAAGAACTTTTGATGTGTATACTAACGGCATTGCAAGATAGTAACATCTGTAGGTATTACGGAAGCTAAGAATGTTATTTAAATTTTAAATAAATAAAAATTAGCTTTGACAATAATACAAATAATTCGTACATAAATTAATATCAGACTTACACACAAGGTAGAGTTTTTAATTCACATGACTAATCTACATTAAATTAATAAATAGTCAGTCAAATAGTAAGAACTTTCATTAAAACTAGGAGTGAGTTCTTTCTATTTGTGAGTAATTTGTATTGTTGTTGCAGTAGACCAGTTCTTATCTTCTATTAATCAATTGAGGTAGAGGCTAGTGTATGCTTTTAATTACATGAAACGTCTTCAATAACTTCAAAGTTCTTTATTNATTTACTAATGCTCGATATCTTTTTTTGCTATAATCGTGTTCGATATAAAATACTAATGCGGTTTCTTTGAGTGCATTTTTTCATTTTGTACCTCAGAAAAAATCTTTGATTTATCTTCAGCTACAATATTATCTTCGTGTTTTTTTGCTTGCTTGAAAGCTAACTCGAATACTGATATATTGTTGTCAGCCGCTGAAGCATTTTGTAAAGCTCATCAATGTAAGGTCTTTTAGGATGCACCTTTATTGCTTCTCCGTTTTCAGCCGATAATAATGCTTATTTTTGATTTTTTTGGAGGTCATCCTCCTTTACTTCCTGTACTTATTGTCTGTTGTGATATTTATTGATATTTACACTGACTAGAGGCCTATATTAAATACTAAAATTTTAACTCAAGCACAAATAATAAATGATATCAATCAGACAGTTTTAATACTTTGACCGTCCCAAATAAGTTTTATAAGTGTTCTAAGTAGTTTTAGCTTAGATAGTTTATAGTTTAAAATTCGTCAATAAAGAAAGTCTCTATGTTAAGTTGGAATCCGTCAGAAACTAAAAAGATAATTTGTCTGTGGGACTATTTAGGAATGACAAATTTACTATTTATGACAGACTTTTACGTTAATTTGAAGCATTTTTGATGTAATCCTAATTAAGTAGTATATTATGAACATTTGTACGAGTATTGTTTTATTTATTTCTTGCTCAGTTAGGGAGGTTTGTAAGAAAAGTCAAAAGCAGCATATAATATCTTATTTGAGATATGTGTCCAGAGTTTCAGTAATGTCTATTTCAAATAATGTTATCACAAGTGTGTGTTTACTTATAAATATGCTGACAAACGTGTGC